GAATCCACCAAGTTACCGCATCTCCAAAGCCACCTTACAGTAGCAATTTACCTTTGATTAACATATCAAGTTACATACTTTATCATTAATTTCACATCAACCTATACATTTAATAGTTATTAGTAATGCACAGGCAATATTAACCTGCAATTATAATCAGTTTTCCATATAAAGCCTAAATACGATAACTTGAAGACAGAGAATTAGATTTCTATTTCAGGCAGTCATCTTATTTTAGATCTAACTACAGAATCACAGAACGGTTTGGGTTGGAAGGGACCTTTAACAACCATCTAGTTCCAACTCCCAAGGCCATGAGCAAGGACATTTTTAGATCAGGTTGCTCAAAACCCCATCCAATCTTACTCTGAATACTTCCAATGATGGGGCACCCACAATTTCTGGGTGACCTGTTCCAGGATCTCACCACCCTCGTAGTTAAAAGTCTTCCTTCTTATGTCCAACCTAAATCTACCCCCTTTCAGTTTAAAGCCACCAACCCTTGTCTTGTCATCACAGGCCCTGGTAAAAAGTCTCTCTGTTAGAAGACAGACATTCAGATACTCTCTCAGAATACCCTCAAATCCCTCTCCACAGCGCAGCTCTCAGTCTGCACTGATACTGGTGGCTGCCCCAACTCCACTGTAGCACCTTACACTTGGATCTAAAGAATGGTAGAAAGATGTTCAGAGAGTTTTAGTCAATCATAATATTTCTCTTTACTTTGAACTGCCTCCAGAGAACTTACAGCATTCTGATGTTGACACTCTGCAAATGTCCAAACTCTGCTTTTTCTATGCACAAGCTTCATTAGCAAATGAGTAAGCTTCTCAGGTGCCAAGTTTCTCTAGCATTTTATCACTCAGATTCTAAGAGCATAGTTAACATGCTTTCAGTGAAGGTGATTTTCAACAGTTATTTTGATATGCAAGAACTTCTGAAGTAAAGGTACTTTGAGTTATATTCTTTTTTTTAAAAAAAAAACAACATGTATTTACCAAATCCCTAACTGCAAGGTCTTCAGAAGTGCCTTCTAACAAGTTAAGTGGGAGGAGTGGGGGAAAGGTCTAATGACAGAGATTTAGAACTCTAAATCCCAAAAAGGATGAGATTTTCTCACATTTTCCTATGCAAGACAGATGAACATGAATTCATCCAGCTGAATACGAAACAGCCAACACACCTATGAAAAATAGGTAACTCAAGCTCTGTACTTGTATATTTTTGGTGCAACAAAAATGGAAAACTCTTGAAACTAGATAAAACAAGTTTGTCATAAGCAGTGTTTACTGTTGTCAGTTAATTTGAAACCAAACTGCTGAACAAGTGAAACATCTGACATCTTTGAAGATTAAGACCATCAAAAGTCTGAAGTTCTAAAAATCAACTACTCAAGTAATTGACTAAGTACTCAAATAATGAAGTTACACAAGTGTCTACATAACACATGAAAAGACTCTTTGCGAGTCATTATCAGAGCAGAGAGCGAGCACCAAAGAGCATGTTCATGAAAATTTACTAGTTATTTTTGAACCTAAAGCACAGGCTGCTACAATCAAATCACCTGTTACATCCCTCCCTCTCCACTCTCCAAAAACTGGAAGCCCACAAACCACAGGGATTTAGTAAGAAACAGAGGAATAAGAAATCTGGTTTTATTCCAAAATTGTTGTACAAGTACGCTCACTGAATACTACTCTCCACTGTTTGATATCATTAATGAGATACTAAGCCCAAGATAATAGCTAGTTACTTACATTGCCTTTGGCTCTACTTAGCACACCTATGGTATTCACCAGTATCAGATCATTCCACACCCTAGAGTGTGACTACCTGCCTAATACAGCCTTCACAGTCTTAGATCCTTTTAGGACTGTACGACTGCTAGTACCTGATATTTTGAGACAAAGCACTACGTTATGCTGTGGTACATGTCTTACAGAGAACTCAGGTTTTGGCCTCCTCATGGCTCACCAAAAAATGAAAAATAAAAAAAAATAAAAAAAGGGCCAAGCTTTGATTTCCCAGCCTGGTATTAAAACAAGTGCATGGAAGTCCCAAAGAAATAAATTTAGTTACAGACAGTTGTAACTTAGTCCGTTTTCTAACTCTGTTTCATTACAGTTGCAAAAAAGAAAACAGGAAAAATAAACACATCTCCTGCATCTCAGCTTTATGAATTTCCTTCCTGCAGCATGTAATTTGAAGTTATATAGTCTTCAGTGTGCCTTTTCCGCCTGCTGTTGTCAGCACTCTTCTCCCACACCTTCCTGAAACGGTAACACACCTTCCTTTGTATCAGTCCCCCCACCCCCAGTCCTCTTTTCTTAGTGTTCTCATACTACTTCACAGAAATTTAGACGCTTTTAGCATACAGAACCTACCTTATGTTGTTAACAAAAACCAAAACGGTTACAAAACTGATTTAAATGTTTTTCCATGCCTGTCTTCTAGTCTACAGGGGCTACAAACTCATAGGAAAAGAGAGAAAAGTAAGTAAAGCTATAGAGGGTGAAACCATTGTAAGAGAAGCCAATGGCATTGCTGAGACTTTTCTCTGCACAGCCAAAAAAAAAAAAGTGTTTCTCGAATCCAAGGGAAGTCCAGCATTTTAAGCCTACATGTAGAGCAAATCAGGTGCTGAATTTAAAGTGTCTGTGTATCAGCTGTTTACATATTACCACTCAGAGAGACACAGTTAGTTAACGCTTTTTCTCAGGAAAAGTGAAAGCAACTATAAATAACAAATTCACAACTTGCATCAATGGAAAAAAGGTTTTTAGACTTAAAAGGTTTTATTAGAAAGGAATGTTTTTAATGTAGTCTGATCATAAAAACATGATTTTATTTTCTTCTTAAGTGCACCAGGGCTAGAGCCTGACAAGTCTCCCTCTTTAACTGGGGGCTACGGAGAGAAGAACAGCAAGTCCATTCTAAAGGACACTTTAAGAGCAGATCAATACACCTACACCTAAGCATTTCTTCCTTAAAAACACATTCACATAGATTGCAATGTATTTGATACATAAATAGTACCTTGGGCCAAGAATGATGTTTGTAGTGTGAATCATCACACTAAGAACTGATGAAAAACATTTCAACCTTTTAGAACGTGTTAGGATACTTAAATTCTTCAGAAAAGAGCCCAAGATGACAACATAACTCTGATGGCTATACCATAAGCTGCCACCTTGCAAAGGTATGTCCAAAAAATCTCAGGAGATTTCTAAAAAGTTATCACTTTAAAGGACATTGTTAAGATCCAAGATGCAAACACATGTTCTAAAGCTTTACACAAGCATGACAGTAGGCATTCCAACAAGTTCACTCCCAAACTGACTGCAGTTTAGCTCCAAACCACAATTAAGATAACTGAAAATGGACAAATCCTTCCAGCTGATTAAAAAGTGAAGGAATACAGTAAAGATACTACCAACCACATGTTTGATACCTGCAACCTCCTTACTGTCACTGCAGAAGGGTCCCCATAGTATGGACAGCATTAAAGCATATACTAGTAAATTGAGTCATGGTCAATGTAGAACTCTGGACTCTATTGGATCTATACTTTTGACATCTATCAACAGAAGCTGTAAAAATGAGTAAAAATGACGGATTTGACAGTAGTCTTATCAAAATTGACACAGCACATCCCAAGCATCAGAGCTCTTCTCATTAGCTGTGGTTCCAAGATTACAAATATGTAAACTAGATCCAAAAAAGCAAGTTAACTGGAAGATGTGGACTGTTTTCTCTTGTGGCAACAACATCCACAAGGCTCTACTTCTATCCAGGGATGTAAGTTTGACCAGTCAGCACTTCAGAAGCTCACAAAACAGTAATAAGCTAAACAGAGTACACTATATCACAAACTTGTACAGATTCTTTCTTTAGATTATTTTCACCACTCCACCACGTTATATTCAAGCAAGAATCATGCAGCAGCAGATGACAAATGACTATTAAGAGCTACCTCCACACCCACGCCTCCTTCCCCCCCAAACCCAAATGGCAGAATTCATATTAGGAACAAATTCAATTTACTTGTTCTCCTGTCTGACAACAGAAAGCCAGGAAAAAATGCACTAAAAAACCTGAATCACTTGTTACAAAGAGAAGAAATTCCCTACCTCAGCATAAAAGCACAAATGAAGATTTGCTTCTATTTAAGGGCATCTCTAGACATATCAAAGTACCCAGTTAACCCCAAACGAATTGGCTGGATTTGGCATTTTGCTGAGGTACTTTTTAAAATCAGAACTAAAATATAACCCAATTTTGTCAAGCAACTACCAAATTATGTTGGTTTTATGTCAGAAAGTATTGTGGTTTGGTTTCTTCTGATGCAGTTGCAACACTGACAGCACTGGAGAGATCCATTGAACCATTAGGTATGCCAAGCAGTGAAGCAATAAGCCAGCAGCTCTGTCTCACACCTAGCACACCAACTAGTCTAAAATGCATTTAAATGCCTGCCGTGACCACTTCCTCACCTGTTAAGGGCATATTAATTCTAGAGCTGTGTTTTACACGTCATTAGCTCACATTTGCAAACGTCTACATAACCAGGTTGAAGTCAGTGCTGCAGTGCTTAACCACAGCATAAGAGGACCTCAGTCCTATGAAAAGAGAAGAGTTGTTGAAAAGGGAACTGGTACGTCAAAGCTATTTACAGTCTCCTGCTCACACACAGGACTAGCACTCACGAATTACGCCTCTGTACAAAGCGTCCACCGCCCCTTATGACAGCCGGTGAAGAGAAGCGCACCAAGCGAGAGAGATGACAAGTCTGAGGCAGGACTGGACGGGCGCCTCCTTGGCATGAGAGCCGCTCTCGCAGCACAGAAACGTTCACGCACCCTGCGCTCAACGCTGAGTAAACAAAACACTAGTGCGGAGCTAAGCAGGGTGGTGACTCAGCCGGGAGTGCGAGATTCGGTCCCACAGGGTAAGAAATTCGGGGAGACGGGACCGGGGGCCCATCGGCGCTCCCTACTCACCAGCAAACAGTCCACGTTCACCTCGGATTTGGGGTCCTTTAAAGTCACGTCGATTTTTTCAAATCGAGACTCAAAGCTTTCTCCCGTCGACATGTTTCCGGAGATAAAAAGTTTCCCTTATTCCAGAGCGAAGTAAGGTTAAAAATAATGAAAATGTAAAAAAAAACAGGAACAAGCGAGCACAAAAGAGAAACCACACAGCCTATATCAGGCTGAGAAGCGCTTCCTGCAAAATCCCTTCAATCACAGAAGTCTGTGAGGCAAGTACCCCACGCTGCCCCGTCAAGGGGACAGAAAATCGAGGGAGAGTCCGCGGCCAGGGGGGCCAAGGCTGCTTCTCCCCCCTCCTCCACGCACGCACTTTCCTGGGCAGCTCACAGCTCCGCAGCAGGTTTCCTCTCCCTC